AACACGAAGCAGACAAGAGCACAAGGAAAGATTAAAGTTTTTTTTTTTTTTTTTGCTTTTTTTTTATGCGCTTATTGTGTAGTGCCACATTGTGTGATTACAACCTTGCCCTTTGGAGTACCCGATTGAGATCCTAAATTTTTTTATAATAGAAATAAATTAGATTCTTTTAAGAATAAAATATATTAATATAACATACCATAAGTTTCGATTTTCTCAACAATATTCATACCATCAACAACTTCACCAAAGACAACCTATGAAAAAAAAACAAAGAGAAATATATAAATATAAGAGTAATTATTCAAGATATAAATACATGTTTGCCATCGAGCCATGATGTTACAACAGTAGTAACAAAAAACTGAGAACCATTGGTGTTTGGACCAGAATTAGCCATTGATAAGAGACCTGGTTTTGTATGTTTAAGTTTGAAGTTTTCATCAGCAAATTTTTCACCATAGATACTATACAAAGAAAATAAGATGTTAATTTATTATATTCAATTCAATATACCTTTTGCCACCAGTACCATTGCTATTCGAATAGAAAGGAAAAAAATGATATTTATTAAATACAATTTTTTTTTTTTTTTTATTATCAACTTACTGTCGGGTGAAATCACCACCTATAAAAGCAATCAATTAATAATTAAACAACAGAATTAACGAAAATCTTTACCTTGAAGCATAAATTTCGGAATTATACGATGAAATGTACTTCCTTGATAGCCAAAACCTTTTTCGCCTGTACATAATGCTCGAAAATTAGCTTCAAATAACAAAACAAGAATTTATAACAATTTATAAAAATATTTCATTTAAAAAATACCTGCTGTCTTTGGTACAACATCATCAAAGAGCTATGAAAAAAAGAAAAATATAAATATCATGAAATTGTTTTTGTTTTTTGTTTTCATTTTTCTTCAAGAAAAATTATTTAATTTTACTTTGAATGTAATGCGACCAAGTGGATTGTTGTCGACTGAAACATCGAAATAAACGTTTTGACCCGACATTATTATTCAGATGAGTTGAGTTTGACGATATAGATCTAGAACATTATATGACATCATCAATACAGTGAAAACATTAGTTAATTAAAGAAGAAAAAATTACAACAGAAATACTGCTACAAAGTCGATTGCACAATATGTATAAACATTTATATATATATATATATAAATATATATATCAAAGGAAGCACACATAAAGAGAAAATACGTACACAAAACAACATCTGACAATAAGCCAATAGATAGGAAAAAAAATGATTGAGACAACATTCAGAGAATATATACTCAAAAACAAAAAAAGGAACTATAGATGACTAGGAGAAAAAGAAAATTCAAAGTCACTGCTGACGAATATGACGAGAATCGATTGTATGATTATTATTATTATTATTATTATTAAATTGTTGATGAGATGATGAGTCATTTAATTGATTACGATCTCGATCAATATTTAATTCTTTTAATAAAATACTTGATATTTGTTGTAATGAACAAGGCGGTATATTCGAATACTAAATGAACCAAAAACAAAAAAATAACAAAAAACTAAAATCGAATAAATCATTTAAACAAAAAAAATATATTCTTACACGAATAATAATTGATATACAATTCATTTCTTTAATAATCGATTTACATGATAAATCTTTTGCTAAATTATTTAATGCTCCA